GTGCACCCTCTCCCAACACAATCGTTTGTCACCCGAGCCAGCAAAAGATGCCAACTTGTGTCATTCTGACGCGTCATACAAATACAAAAACTGTGCATGTGCAGGTGTGCTATCTCTGTTCTTGCAGAGCTATGGACGCGTGCGCATACATACGGGTAGGCTTGAGCAGGTGGTGTGTTGGTTGCAGCTCCTGCCCTATGAGGCCGAAAGACGAACAGCACAGCGATGTCAAGCCGCTCGTTTACGCGCCAGGTACAGGCCAGTGACACCAAGGCGTCCGTCGTCTTCTTCTGAGCTCCTGCTACATGGTTCATGGCGTGTCCGTACATGTACGTGCGATAGCTTCGTGCTCAGGGAAAGCCATTTAGTAATGCTCGAGCAGTCTGACGCATGTGACGAATCCTGCTAGCTGCTTACTTAAAAGACAAGCAATCAAGAAACCGCTTGACAAGCTGAAAACGCATCGGACCAAACTCTAATGAATGGAGCGGGACTTGGTTGCTTCCAGATTATGAGGATCTCAGTTGTATGTCTGGAGTAAGCTAATGCATGATCCTATTACTCTTATGTTAAGTTTGCACGATGTTTCAGTACGTCTCATGCTAGAAAGGCCAAAAGTTTTGTGCTTGACCAGTGGATCACAACACACATGAAAGTACCAGCTATAATAAAGGAAAGTCGCTCTCACCCTTTGAGTCGTCGTCCTACAACAAGCAATCGTCATCATCGATGATGATTCGAGATTCTTTACGTATTGCACAGCCAGAATTTTAGACTTCTCCTAGTGAGGTGGACTCCTAGTGTTTTAGCATTCAAAATTCAATATAAATTTTTCCCTCTGAAATGCTCTCCTAGTGAGATTCTCATATGCTATGACTAGTGGTAGTGTTTTATTACTACTTAATAACAATAGAAAAATAGAAGTCATTTATGGGATGCGTGCAGGTCAAACTTTCCCAACTTTAACTAGGTTTATATAAAAATACAGCGTAAACATTTATATCTTTAAATAAGTTTATTGTAAAGGTATATTCAATGCTCTATCTAGTAACACTAATTATGTATTATAAAATATTATTATTTTTTATATATATTTAGCCAAAGTTAAAAGTGTTTAATTTCTTAGGAATTGAAAATAACTTCTATTTTAGGACGAAGGAGTACTATAGATGCACATCTGAATCTGATCCATGTGCGAATCCAGTGGCCGGCTTCTTCTCGTGGCTGTTGTTGTCCTCCGTGTCGTCCACGTCGGGGGAAAAAAAGCCAAACTTGTCCGACGGCTTGAGGATGGAACCCTTTCTAGGTCTTTTCGACCCCACACGCTGCTCCTTGATTGCAATGACATCCAGCTCCTATCCGATTTTTTTTTTTGTTTTGTTTTTTTTGGGGAGAGGCATTCACATCGCTGTCATTGGCCAACTAGGCAAGCACGCCTAATTTCTTGGGCTTCCCCTATGCTTCCCATCTTTTCAACGCAAGGATGAATCAACAATATCAAGGGGGAAAAGACTGAAAGAAAATGCAGGTCCACGCCTCTTTCTGACTGTGTATTACGTATTATTATTATTTTATCAACGTGCTAGGTGGCACTCCTACTCTAATGACTAATGGAACTAAAAGATGCATGCAGAACTACTACAGTCTGATGTTGTTGTCACACTAGCGCGTATCTTGCATCAACCACAACCACGTGTTCAAGTCTTTAACCAGGCAGGTTCAGATGACGACATTACTTAGATCTGACGAGAGGCACACAGCAAAATAAATGTGTCTGATTCCAATCAATTATTGCCATAAACCAAGTTACTAGTAGTAGTCAACAAATTTCTACGAGAAAAAAAAAATCAAGATGGCCAATAATATATCGGCGGTTAGTAACACTACCATTCTACGAATTAAGTGAAGAAATAAGCAGAAATTGCAGTAGGTTAAGAAATACTCCCTCCGTCCATTAGTCTGAATCGCCTTAGCAAAATCTACTTTTCCACGAGTCTAAATCGTCTAAGTGCCGACGTCCATTCAAATGCATGTGAGCAGCTCTGTAGGTGTAGCCTGTAGGTACCTTTCTTTTGGCTGGCTTGGGTATCGGATTGGGATAGGATCGGAGCAGCATGGCGATGGCTTGGGAATTAACCTGGACTCGTGTGGTCTCCAACGGAACTGGCAGCTTGGCAGGCCATGGTCAGCGCAGAAGAAGCTGCGGATTGCCTGGCCGGAGTAGCGGTGACCATTGCAGTCGCAGAACTCGGAGGAGCGCCGCCGCTGGCTGCGACAAGGAGGAGAACGAGAGAAGGCGGAGTCGAGGCGAATCGGCAAGGCCCTAATTTTGCGTGCCGAAGTATATTTATTGGGCTGTATCGAGGCCATAGCTCACTATGGATGGATCTGACTGACTGGTGAGTCGACCCGAGGGCCCCTTTTATGTGGGAAAATAAGTAGCCCAAGAATGGCCTAATAACTAAGTTAAAAGTTCCAAGTTAAAATGTTAAATGCAGAGGCCATAGCCCATCAGACGAGGCTGCAGATGATGCGGGCCGTATTGGGCTTCTTGGGTGGACTCGTTATCGTGTCCACAAGTTCCTGGAGAATTTCTAGAGAATGGCACACGAATGTTGGCAACTGGTATGTAAGTTTTGCATGACCATCCGTGCCGTTTTTTTTTTCCTTGTGATGAAAGAAATCTTTGGCGTTTGTAGCGCTATACTATAAGACGGACCATACATCGGATGTACAGTGAGAATAAGTGCCACGGTTGTCCTATGAGGACCATCTGCACTAATTTTTTTTAATGGAAACACAGGGATCTAGCTCACACATTACATTGGTATCAAGAAGAAGTGCATACACAGTACACAAAGACGGGGATATATAGATATAGATGAAAGGCGGGGGGCTTAGGCCCTAAAACTTTGAAATGGACCATGAGGTGCTCGACGAAATGTGTCACCAGTGAGGTCAATTGCTGTTCAAGCTCTTCTGATTGCAACTGTAACTGTTTTCATTTACTTAAATAAATTGCCTAAGAACATGGAACAACAATAATTTAGCACCAAGGATTGGCTAAGATGGATACACTACAATTATATAAACTATCTTAATGAAATGGCAGTATCTTGTTTTCCTTCAAGATGAGCTTTCCAGATCTCCTGCTGGTAGCTTTCAAAAAGAAAAACTTCAGTAAGACAGTTCATCTTGCTTCTAGTGAGTTTGTTATGACCAACCTATTATGTTTACTTCCAATGCATGTTCGCAGTCCAACATCACACCTAGACCTCAAGTTTTTCACTGGCCTTGGCATGAAACCACCCAGAGCATCCTCTGTTGATGCCAACCAGAACCAGAAAATCTTGCTCGGCGACAGGGTTGGGCTTGGACTTGTGGATTTTCTAACTAATGAGAACTCTACCCCCTGGGTGGTAGAAGGTTCTTCTTGAATCTGAGATGAGGATTTCTGATAACCTGTCTCGCAAGAACAGCTCCCCACTGCTCTTGTTCATGCTGGGGTGGTTGAACAGAAGGATGATAATATGTCTGATGGACTATAGACACTACTTAACACATGGTCCTATGCCTTTTAGTAAAGATTTTCTGAACATACCTTGTCACTCAGAACTGCCTTCACAAATTTTTGCACAATTAATGTTGGCATTCGTTTTAAGATCAATGGTTGGTTGATAAAATCTCTATGCACCGTAACATATCTCAACTTCTAATACTAATGTAAGATAAAATTATAGGACTTTTAAGCACGAGTTGATTGGCTAGTTGTTACAAATCAAAGTACAAAAAAAAAGGAAAATAATTGATAAAACAGATGTCCGTGGAACGGTACAGTAATGCCGGTTGATGCGGAAGATGTGGCACTGTTCAATGCGGCCACAGTAGTTACAGTCAGAAACGGGCTCAAGGCTTCCTTCTGGCACTCAAGCTGGATAGATGGTCGGCCGCCGGCTAGCTTGTGCCCACTGCTGTACAAGCACAGTAGGCGGAAAAATAGAACGGTAAGGGAGGCAGTTTTGACCGGAAGCTGGATCGGGGACATTGGCTATAACCTGAACCATGAACTCCTGAATGAGTACTTCAAGCTCTGGGCAGCCATTGAGATGGCCGGTATCGATCTGGATGACACCAGGGAGGACACGATAACCTGGACACTAGAGAACTCAGGAGAATACTCGGCAAAATCAGCGTATGAGGTACAATTTGCAGGACAGATCACCTCCAACTACCCGGTTTTGATTTGGAAGACATGGGCACCACCAAAATGCAATTTTTTCGTATGGCTGCTCCTCCAGGACAGGCTGTGGACAGCGGCGCGTCTACAGCTACGGGGATGGAAGAACAACTATTTTTGTGCGCTATGCGAAAGGAACCTGGAGACGGCGCAGAATCTGTTCTTTGAGTGCACCTACTCTGGGTCGGTCTGGCAGCTCGTCGCCTCCTGGAGCTCCTGCGACAGCCTAAACCCGGCTAACTGGAGGGATGAGCTCGGTCTAGAAGATTGGTACAGACAGACGTTGGGAACAGGGGGCAAGAAGGGACACACACTAGTTATTCTGACCCTGTGGATCATCTGGAACCGGCGGAACGCGGTTATTTTCAAAGGATGCTGGAAGACTCCACAGGCAACGTTCATGGAGATTAAGGACATGGCGCAGCAATGGTCCCTAGCAGGATGCAAAGCACTCAGGCCAACCACAGTTGTTCAAATCATTAGTGAGTAATTAGCTAGGTAAACAAACCCCAACGCAGCCAAGGCTGTGGTGGGGAGCGCCGCTCGCGCATGTAAACTCGGATGTTTGCTTCTCCACTTATTTTTAATCAAAGCCGGTTCGTCCAGATCTTTCAAAAAAAAAAATCGATATAACAGATTATTTGCGATGGCTAATTATGCAATACAAACTAACAACACTTTGTTTATTAATTAGGAACTTCCACACACAAAGTTATTGCTTGGGCAGCAGGGTGCTCTTTGCACAAAGATATATAACATTGACTCAATCATAACCATATGTACTACTGGAGTTGGAGTTCTCATGAGTTCCACCACTAGCTGCCGCTGCAGGGAAGTCATGAACCCTTGGAGCCGGAGGGTCATCAGCAGGTAGAGGGTCCACTTCCATGGTGCCCTCCATCATCCACAGCACGCTCCTCATCGTTGGCCTCATCGATGGTTCCCCCTGCACGCACCAAATCGCAATGCGCGCGAACCTCTCCACCCTCTCCAGGTCCTGCAGCGCCTCCTTGTCTCCCTGCACAGCACGCCCAACATCGCCTTCCCTAACCAGGTCCGACACCCATGCTCTCAGTGTCACGGGCATGCCTAGGTCCTCTGAGTCATCACCGTCGTCGTCGCTGCATCGCGACCCATCCTGGCCGCCATCGTCTGCCGGTGCCGGTGGTGGTGGTGGGTACTTCCTGCAGCAGATCATCTCCAGAAGAACAACGCCGAAGCTGAACACGTCCACCTTGCTGTCCACCTTCCTCTCGCCGCTGAACCACTCCGGCGCGAGATACCCGAGGGTGCCTCGGACATGGGTGATGGTCTGCTTCAGCTTGTCGCCGTCGAGGAGCCTGGCGATCCCAAAGTCCGTTATCTTGGGGATTCGCCTGTCGTCCAGCAGGATGTTGTCGGGCTTGATGTCGCAGTGGACGATCTGGGAGGTGCAGCCGTAGTGCAGGTACTCCAACCCCCTGGCGATGGCGATGGCGGCCTCGGCGCGCCAGCTCCAGGACGGCCTCTCGCCGGAGGGCTTGAAGAGGACGTCGCCGAGAGAGCCTCCTGGCATGAACTCGAAGACGAGCATCCGGTGCACTCCTTCCTTGCAGTAGCCGACCATCCGGACCAGGTTCCTGTGGTGGATCCTGCCGATGGACTGTACCTCGTTCTCGAACTCCATCTCCTGGTACTCGTCCGCGCTCCTGAGCTCCTTCACGGCGACATCGTGTGGTTCTAGGGACTTGACGATGCCATGGTAGACCTTGCCAAAGCCCCCCTGGCCAAGCAGCTTGCTGAACCCGTTGGTCGCTCGGCGGAGCTCCTTGCGAGTGAACACCGTCGCGCTCAGATACTTCCTATTTCTTTCCTTCTTGTTAGTGATGTAGCAATGCACTAGGAGGATGCAAGCAGTGGCCAACAATAACATGCCCAATCCAGCAATGACTGCGTAGGGCAGGATCACAGCAGGGGGTCCTTTGATCCGCACCTTCACCAGCGTCCTCATGCTCGTGCCATTTTGTTGCCACCCGCTTGTAAGCATAGCAGCCTCCAAGCAGCTGTTGCTACTTCCGTCGAACAAGGCAGCTGCACAGAGGCAGTTGTGCAAGCACAAATCTTGGCATTGCTCCGCCGTGATGGACTTGTGCTGCTCGTAGAATATCGGGTTTGCCCAATACGTGTTGGGCAACTCCACGAGCTTGAACTCGGAAGAATGGCTGCTCTTCCCGTCATCGCAGGTATCCTGAAGAAATGCTGGAGCACAGCCCTCGTACCTAAACTGTGTGTGCAAGAAGGTGTAGCCACCTAGACACTCGCAGTCGAGCCGGTTGTCGGCGTCGTACACACAGTAGGAGTTGGGTCCACACATGCCACGCCGGCTGTTGGTCACCGCTTGGCAGCCGTCGCTTGGTACCGGCGTGTTCACGACGGACCATGTGGCGTTGTCGTTGCGGTCGCCGGTGTTGTTGGGGAGGATGTAGACACGAAGGATGCCGTCTGGGTCGAGCGTGGCGTGCTGGTAGAAGAACCTACTGCCGGCGGAAGGAACGGGCTGAGGGGCTGTCAGGTTCCGGCTGGTGCCGTCCGTGAGCCGGTAGTAGAGGTGGCCGACGAGCTCGGCGTCGAAGTAGAGAGTCGTGCCATTGTCGACACAACAAGTGCGGCTGCTCCAGTAGGCGTTGATGGGGGCCAGGGGGCCGCTACCTGGCAGATCCGTCCTGTACATGACGATGTTCCCATCCTTCTGAACGATGAAAATGAAGCGGCCGGCTGAGAAGTTGGTGTCTGAGGACCTAGACCGAAGGAGTGTTCCAGGGGCCATGAGCTGCCCTGGGAGGAGAGTGTCCGTGGGGTGTCCAAAGCTCTCCCAGACGACGGTCTTGCCATCTGAGCCGAGGAACTGGAGGTTGCCGGTGTCCCGTAGCACTAAGGATGAAAACGGTCGAACTCGGTCAAAAAACTCCTCAATCGTTTTCTATTTTTATATTTGAAATACGAAAGCGAAAGCGAAAGCGGACAAGCCGGACACGAAAACGAACACGAACTTACGGAATATCTAGAATTTCGGAAACGAACCAATTTGAGCGGAATTATGTCGAACACGGTCGGTATGCAAAAATTCAATACGAAATACCGATCTACAGTGCATAGCATTAAACAAATGTACGACCAAATACATAATAAGTTCACAACTAACAAGTACATAGCATTAAACAAGTGTACGACCAAATACATAATAAGAGAGATGAGGCTGGACGCCGTCTATAAGAGAGGGCAGCTAGCCACCAGTAGAAAGAATGCAGCTGCGTGGTGAGCGGCCTGTAATTGGACTGTATGACCTGTGCAGTTGGCCAAATTCGGTTTAAACCGAATTTTGAATTCGGAATATTTCAAATTAAAAGTAGAAAAGTAGAAAACGGTCGAAAAATGTGTAAACCGTTTTCTACTTTTACATTTGAAATACGAAACATCTCAAATACGAAAACGAAAATAGTAAAGTCGGACAAGAAAATACGGATTCGATCAAATTAAATATAAAAAACGATACGATTCTGTTCGGGATATTTTCGTTCTGTTTTCATCCTTACTTAGCACGAGAAGGGAGCCGTAGTTTTGGCTAGCGTCAGTGTATGGGGTCCATGCATTGCTAGTTCCAGGATTAGCAAGGGAGAGCTGGCCGGTGGTACTGAGGCTCAGGACGGACTGGCCTCCGGCGACCACAGCGGAGCCTGAGCCCGCGTCTGCGGCGAACCACACGACCCTGCCAGGATCAAAGCGAAACCATATCTCTAGGAGGAAGGAGCTGGAGGAGGATGCGTTGGAGTCGGGGAGGGTGCGGAAGCCGAAGGCGAAGTCGCCGGAGGGGCTGGTAACGTAGTTGGGTGGCTTCAGGCTGTCGCTGGCGGCTAAGCTGCTTGGGGTCGACATGATGGCCAGAACCACGCACGGCTGCAGAAGAAGCATGGCAAGGAGGAAAAGAGCAAGGTGTAGGAGGTGAACAACGATGGAGAGTAATGGCTTCTTCATTGCTGAAAATCAGCAAGCTCGCTGGCTAGCAGAATGGCTCTAGCAATACGAGGATGAGGATCGGAACACTGCCGCCTTATTTATGCCTTCCGTGCTCGGACGGCTATATGGAAAAGCGCCAAAGCGGACGCACGAAACAAGCGATGAGATTGTGCTGTAAATGTCGCAACAATTCCAAAGCAGACTCAACACATAGTCTCAACAGGTACGTCAATATTGACAATTGATTAGTCAGTACTCTGAGTTCAGTACCCTGCCAAACGAGGAAACAATTCCACTTCCATGCGTCAAAGGGCACTCTGAGATCGACCACTGCTTCTAGAAGTTTCACGCCCAGGGCTGGGATTTCTATCAATCTGTTGGTGTCTTTTTCGTGTGCTAATTTTAGTGAATTGATAAGTTGATATGGCATATATTGATATAATATTGCTCGATGGCTACCTTCATGAACGCTGTGGTGCCCTTAGTGCTGGTCTGCTGGATGATTTGGACAGCAAGGAATGACTTGATGTTCAAAGAGGTGCAACTTAATGTCCTGGACTGCAAGTTTCTCTTCCTTAAGGAGCTGTCGTTCTTTTAGAGTAAAGTCAAGGCTCTCAGCAACCTTTGATCAATGGATACAAAATCTAGTGTAATATGCTATTCGGTTCCTTTTTTTCTTTCTTTGTATCTTGAACTACTGTACTTTAGTGGTTTCTTTTGAGTTTTTATATATAAGCTGTAGGGATTTCGGCCCCTCCAGATTTCTCAGAAAAATTGCTCGATGGCACCTCACGTGGAAAGTTCTTGGTTGATACCAGGAGGCAGGGGCAGAGCTAGAGATTGTCTCCAGCTAGCGTGTCTGGCGGTGAACGAAGAAGATGTAAAGTTGAGCATTCAGCTCGGGGCCTGAAGGCACGGCATGGAGCCCTTTTTTTGGCCCGGCCAGCCCGGCCCGGCCTCCTCCGGGCCCGTGCCAGGCACAACACGATCCACAAGCTGTGCTTGGGCCGCCGCCTCGGCCCGGCCCGCAAACTAGTGGAAGGCCCGGTGACGGCACGGTGCTTGCCACAGCCTGCTAAAGGCCTATCCCACTCCCTTCCTGCCAAACCCTATCCCACTCCTCTCTCCCACCCGCGCCGCACGGACATACCGCGACGGCCGCGAATCTCGCATTTGCGACGCGAGGCGCGTGACTCGCCTCCGTGGCCCCAAGCGCCGAGCCGCCGACGGACCTCCTCCTCACCCCCGCACCACCAGCCGCCACCTCCTCCTCCACGCCCCCCAAGCGTCCGCCGGCTTCGAGCGAGGCGTCCGGCCTACTGCTGCTCCTCCTCGGGGGGGCCGGAGTCGCGTCTTCCCCGACCCCGAGCGGCCGAGCCGTCGCCGTCGCGAGGAGAAGCGCCATCGCGCCTCGCCCCTCCTCGTCTCCTCGCGCGAAGAGGAGCTCAGGAGCTGCGCGTGTCTTCCCCGACCCCGAGCACCTGCCGTCGCCGAGGACGAGTAGCCCCATCGCCGTCGCGCGAGTCCGGCTTCCAGCCGCCGCCTACTCCTCCACGTCCCCAGCGCGTCCGGCCTCGTCCTCCACGGCTCCGCCCTGCTGCTGGTCCTCGGGGGCCTCCCCTTCTCTCTCGGCATTCACGGGCTCCGGGCTTGGCCCGGTCTGTCTTTGGGCCCGTGCTTTTCGGGCCAGCCCGGCACGTAAGTCGGCCCGACAGGCCGTGCCTGGCCTGTCGGTGGACTGGGGCGGCATGCCCCGGTGGCACGACGGGCACCGGGCCGTGCCTAGGCGGGTGGCCCAGATGCTCATCTTAAGATGAGAGGATTCGGTCATTTTCTGAGGTCAGCGGTCAACAAACCCAATATTGGGGCACTATGTGATGGCTCTAGCGCATTGGTCCTCAGAGCTGAGTCAAAATTAAAGAGCCAAGCCTAGTGGAAGAGCGCTGTGTGATGCTAGCAGGCAGGCTGGTTGGGGAGAAGCAGCCGAGCAGGGATGCAAGATCGCGGTCATCACATCCTCCAGTCTATTGGGCGAAATATTGCAGTAGTTGTGAACCAATATTGACTACTGCGTCTGCACCACTAATCTGAAGAACACAAGTAATTCTGGCATGTGGCCTGCTGGTGGAAGCTGTGAACATGGTATGCACCCATTTAGGTGCATGTGAGCTAAATTTGGCAGTATACGCTCTGGTTCTGTACATAGACATTCTGGTAACTATAACAAAAGGGAGACATGTACATTTTAACAAATTTGTGTTTCCGTTTCTCTATAAATGGAAATGGGGTTCGACTTCGCGTTGAAAAAAAAACAAATTTGTGGAGCTGCTAATTGTAGATTATATTTTAACATTTCGGTATCACAGATTCTTCCATGTCTGGGAGGCTGAAACAAGATTATTTGCTGGCTTAAAATAAGACCATAACATGCCTGAGATAATCATAGACATTAGCTAAACTTATGTAGCACAGTACCCCTTTGTTCCTATAGCATACAAAATTCTTATACAAAATGTAAACATTGAACAACAATTTTTTTTGCCTTGTCCTGTGAGAACATCTTCCTGCTGCTTTAAGATACAATGAAGTCTTCCTATGACACGAGCTTGGTTCTGGAAAGCCTCTGATTGATCGAAGATTTTTTTTTTAAGGTCACCGGGGGGGGAGGAGGATCCCCACCTGAATATATTATTGCTTGATCAGTGCCCTTAGGCAAAAGTTTGATCGAAGGTTTTGAGTATAACGCTCATATCCTACATCAGCTCTGCTCTGATACTGTAAGAAGAGTAGCATGTAAGGATAGGTAGGTTGGCTGTTGTAAAACAGACAGTATATATAAATAAAAAGAGCAATCCTAACATTTTTAAAAGGAAACATAAACGTATTAAGCAAAGTTGCATGATATCAGGGAGCTACAAAGAAAGAGATGTTACAGCGATTCTTGTATCCTATGGTTATCTATGGGCCACAAGAGAACTTGAGATAGAAAAGGGAGAATCCAATAAACTCTATATGATTCGTATCATAGAACAGCATGCAAACTCTGAAGAGGAATAGAGAGGTTGCACAATGACCAGAAACTGGCAAAGCCCAAATATTGAGAACATCATATTATAAAAGAACTTTACTTAGGTGGTTAGCTGACCTGTCTAATTGTAGAGAGATCCATCTGGAAAGATATCCCGATCATCCGTGCTATGTGTTGCAACATGAACTCGAACGCCTTGTTCTTCTTCCAGGACACACTTTCTGAACTGCTGTGCGTTTAGGCAGTCAACCATGTACAAGCGTTTCTGTGAGCTTAGGCTCTCTGCCTAATCTAGTTCAGGACAGTCCTGGGCAAACAGGTCCTGCAGCTTGTTGAGGTTGGAGATCCTTCTCAAACATCTGTTATTCTTAACCTTGAGCCACACAACCGCAGGAAGGTTGACAACTTCTTGCAGCTTCTGAGCACCTTTGATGTGAATCCTTTTTTAAATTAACAGCTCTATGCAAATGTTCAGGGAGATCTCTTAGTTTTGGGCAATCAAGAAGCAACAGGGGCTTAAGTGAAGGCATCAGAACGAGTTGATCATATTCAGCCTCCATGTCGTTACATAAGTTTCCTATGTTGAGGGACTAACTTTCCATATTGCGCATGCTAATGATGTGGAGCAACTCAAGCTTTGGGAAAAAACATTTTGCACTCATCACACCTTTTCCCAGGAGTTTTTCACCGATATTCACTGCTGCATCTGCACCTCTGATCTGAAGAACTGGTAGTTCTTCTCTGCTTCAGCTAAAACCAAACAAATCTATGATTTTTGCATCTCCAAGTCTCTCCAAAGGTCCAGCCCGGCTGTTTCAGCCCACTACTACGGCGCACAGGCCCAATTATGCACTTGCTGTCGCTGCCACCTGCCAGGGAAGCTCATGGAGGAGGCTGCCGTGGCGGTCGTAGTAGAAGCAGCGCCCCGCCGCGTGCGAGGGCGAGAACCGAACAAGGGCGGCGGCGAGGAAGAAGAAGGTGGGACGAGACACTACATCTGCTTCAGCGCCATCTCCATCACGGTCTCCTTCACCAACGGCATCTTCGAGAAGCTAGCCGCGGAGGCTGCCAGGCTCGGTCGATAGGCGGCGCATCCAGACCTCTGCTGGCCTCGTCATCCTACCTTGCGACTTGCGAGCTCGCCAGAGTCTCCGCGGGCATCGAGGTCGTCACCAGGTTCTCCTTCTTCTCTTAGGTTGCCTTCCTCTAGCCTCCCGTACATGCAGTGGTAGTATTAGTTGGGTGCTTTTGTTTATTCTGGCTCATTTAAGCAGCAGCCACCGGCAGCAGAAGTGAAGCTGCGGATGAAATCGGATGGACGCTCGGTTAGGAATCCCAAAGTCAATTGGTTTCTGAATTTCTACATCTTGTATTTCTCTCATCTGTGTGCAGCCTGGTTGCCACAAAGACATATAGTCAGTTCGAGCTACAGGCTGCTTTAATTTCTTACATTTACACATAATTAAATTTCTGTAGGAACTGTACTGTTTCTGAACCTGTAGGCTGTAGTCATTTGAAAATTGAAATGCATATGCTTAATCTTTAAATACAGTCATTTTTTTTAATGTTTTGATCCAAAATCAATATGACGATGTGGAGCATAGAGTATGCTATGAATGATATGCCCACTGTTGTGGAGACTCAGAACATTTCATATCTTAAGGGGGTAGATTTCTAATAGTGCAGCTGGCTGCATACATCTACAACATATTCTAATACACCTTCAGCTGTGATCATTGCTCTTGCAAATAACTGCAGCTGGTGCCTTCTCAAGCATTTCTTATCTTAAGAAGGTAAATTTCCCTGTCATTTTACTTTTCCCTTTTACACTCTTATATGATAAACATACTGATCCAAAAGAGACTTCAATCCTCACATGCATGTGCTTTAGTTGTTACACCAATTTGCGTATATGATCACATGCTACAACCAGGGAAAAATTTATCGGCCGAAATCTCCTGATATTTCCGATATATCCTTTTTATCCGTAGGTGCCGATAAGAAAATATCTATCTTTTTCGTACAAATTTTGTTTAAATTTATTTAAATTTACTTAAATTTAAATTAAATTTTATTTGAATTTGGTCCGATATTTCCGATATATCCTGTTTATCCTCTTTATCTGTGACCCCCGATAAATTTTAATTTCCGAAAATGAAAACCTTGGCTACAACAATGATCATTGTTTCAGTTGACAACATATATGCAGTTAGACATGTGCTAGAGCAATGATCACATATTGCCCATGTTTAGCTCTAGATATTCACCGTTGTTTGAAAATTACTGCAAAATCGTTCCTGCTCCATATTCCACGACAAGAGGTCTGGCAAACTTGAGGTATGAATCCCTGATAGCATGCATCTCATTGACAGCATCTTGTATTAGTGTCCTCTCTCTAGGTTGTTTTCTTGAGCAGGATACCCCAAGAGCAATGACATGAACCAAATATTTCTCAATTATGTTTCTTGTATTACTGTCATGGGTGCCAGTGTGCAGCCACATTGTCGTATCGGCTATCTCCCAGATTTTATCTGGAAGAGCATCCTCTGAAAACTTATGTAGATCCATTGAACCTCTAAACATATCATCTGTTGGGCTCCTCCCTGTAAAAATCTCGAGCAACAATATGCCAAGGCTATAAACATCACCAAAAGTTGTGATGGATGAAGCTTCACCATACTCTATTATTATGCAAAAGAAAAAAGAAGTATTGATCAGCATGCCATATTTACAGAAGGATTTGGAATATAAAGAAAAAAAACATAGCATTTACCAGGAGCAACATAGCCAATGGAGCCTCTTATGCCAATTGTGCTATTGGAATTTTACATAATTTTACTTTCACTTTCTGAAATGACTCTAGCTATGCCAAAATCTCCAACTCGGGCACTCATGTCTTCTACAAGAAGGATGTTGCTTGGTTTGAGATCACAATGGATGATTGGTGGCTGGCAATGATTATGAAGATAGTCCAGAGCATCCATGATATCAACAACGATATCTAGCCTTTGTGCAAGGCTGAGAGTATTGTCCAAAGTGGGCATCTCAGATTCTATATGGAGCCAACGATTCAAGCTACCATTTGGCATGAACTCAAAAATCAATGCCTTGAAATCATGACCTTGTTCATTGGTGCTTGAGCAGCATGTGATGATCTTCATGAGGCAGTGGTGGCGCACCCTTCTTAGTGCCTCACATTCGGCCACAAAACTTTTAGTAGAGCCTGATTGCTGAAGGTCAAAAACCTTTACAGCTACAACAGTTCCCTCACCTTGAAAAGCACATTTATATACTGTCCCAAAGCTCCCTTTACCAAGCAAATTGGCTTATGAGAATCCATTGGTTCCATTTGATAATGCATGACAAGAAACTCTTTCATACTGTTCCTCAACCATTGGTGATCCGAATGCGCCCTTCTGCTTTCGTGTTTGCTTCCAGTAGATCAAGTGAACGAGTGCAATAACAATAGCTAATAATAAGAATGCAAAGGTTGTCGCTAGTGCTATTTTAAGGTACTTCAATTTCCTTCTTCTGTTATTTTTCACAGAATCTATCTTGCATGGAACTAAATAAAGCTGGGGTATTCCCCCACAAAGCTTGTTATTTCCGATGATCGACAGGTTAACCAAATTTCTGAAAATCCCTTCCTTTGGCACTTCCCCTTGCAGATTATTGAAAGACAAATCCAAATTTGACAAAGATGTCATGTACTGTAGAACTGCGGGGATTGGTCCTGACAGATTGTTGTGTGCCAGGAACAATTGTTCCAGGCCACTGATACTTGCAATGGCATCCGGAATAGCACCGGACAACTCATTCACTGACAGGTTGAGTGTAGTTAGGCCCTTATTTAAATTTTGAGGTATGCTTCCGTTAAATAATTTATTGTCCAACCAAAGTTCTTGAAGCACAGTGCACTCCCTAATGCTTTCAGGTATCTCACCAGATAATTGGTTTCCTGATAGAACCAGTGTGTTTAGGTTCACTAAGCTACCAACTTCAGAGGGGAGAGGTCCTGATAATGAATTGTATGACAAGTCTAAGTAACCGAAAGAAAGAAGAGGTTGTTTGAAAATCTCCGTAGGAATCGCACCAGTGAGGTGGTTCATTGACAAATTAAGGGAAAATACACTCTTCAACTTTCCTATGCTTGGTGGAATTGGTCCCTCAAGATTTGCATGAAATGCATAAAGGATAGTCAACTTTGAGAGGTTTCCAACCGTCGAAGGTATTTGTCCTGACAAGTTTGTGTTGAACAAACCAAGCTTAGTCAAGTTTGTTAGTTTGCCGATGCTATCTGGAATTTCTCCAGATATAGAAGTATTAAAAATACCAAGGGTTTGAAGGCCCACCAGATTGCCGATCACGCAGGGGATGCTCCCCCAAATGCCAGTGTTGTCCAAGCCGAGGATTTGCAGGGTTGTTGAGAGATTCACTATTGAGCTTGGTAGCTGTCCAGTGAAAGCGGCATTGTAGGAGATAACTAATAGTTGGAGTTTGCTGCAGTTTGACAAAGAAGTAACAAATTCCCACCCCTCCCCATCGTTAGCTTCTAACATGTTGTCGACCAAGTGCAGATGTTGCAGAGCTCGTAGTTTCCCCATGGTGCGAGGCACATATCCACTAAGCATATTGTGTCCAAGGCTGAGTCGCCGAAGTAGCGTGAGGTTAGAGAGCGAAGCACAGGGATGGGCCCAGTGAACAAGTTTGTCATATATAGTCAAGGGTTTGCATGCTAGGGAACTTACTGCCGATATCCGTAGGCATACTACCACTGAACATGTTCCACTAAATCTGCAACTTTTTCAAGGAAGACATATTGTAAAGGGAGGCTGGGGGCTCACCAGAGAGGTTATTGAAGGCAAGCCCAAGAAACCAGAGGTCCTTGAGGACGCCAAGGCTAGTCGGGATAGTACCCTCGAGCTGGTTGAATGCGAGGCTCAGAATGCTCAATAATGACAAATTAGCCAGCGACGCCAGGATCTGTCCAGTGAGGCTGTTGTTCTGTAGGTCGAGAAGCTGGAGATGCTTCAGGCTGTCACCGAGTTGAGGGGGCACGTGCCCGTGGAGCTTGTTGAAGCTGATGACCATGATGGTTAGACTGGTGCAAGCTCAAGTTGGTGGGGAGCGGGCCAGAGAAGGCATTTTGGCTCAAGTCAAGGCTATGGAGGTGGCGCAGATGACCAAGGTTCGCGGGGATGTTCCCGCTGAACCCATTTGAGCTCAGGTTCAGAATCCTCAAGGATGACAGGTTTCCAATGGCGGGCAAGAGGATGCCGGTGAGCTCACGGAATGGCAGGCTCAACGCCACCACTCGACGGTGTGTGCCCCGACACCTCACCCCCTCCCAGCTGCAGTACCCACCGGTGGTACTGCGGTTCCACGAAGCAAGAGTGTCGCTCCTGCCGCCGGCAGCTGCAGCCTTGAAGGCCAGCAGCGCTGCCTCATCGTTGGCGTGTGCTGCCACCGGTGTCGAGACGGACATGGAGACAGATAGCAGCAGAAAGAACACCGAGCAGGGCATTGCCATGTAGGCTGCTTTGGTACACCTTGGGGAAATGGTGGGCTGTGTTTGGTGTATCATGCACGATGCAGCTGGCAGCCTGCTGGTGCCATTTTTTTTAATTTATAACAGAGGATCACGTTATCATGTGCCGCCATGACATGTACATGTGTGGTTGCCAAACTTATGTGATCGCTATGTTAGCATTTTCTGTGGACTTTGAGTCAACATTCAAAGTTTGCCAAACTTTAGCCAAACTTACGTGATCGCTATTGTTGCTGCCGAACGTGCAGACACCGAGTAATGGAATTGCATTTCCGTTTAAAAAAAACATTCAGAGTTCAGTAGGCATGGCACGTACAAGTTGCCAAATGAGGAACCAATAGCGACAGCTGTTTCTATGACGTCCACAGAGGTGCTCTCCGACCGATAAGGTGCTTGCGCCACCACAAAGGTAGGCGACCTGGTCCCTGGAAATGGTGAAGATTTTGATGGCAAGAGGTGCCGACGGGTTGGAGAAGACGAGCTTAGGGTGCAACTTCAATAGTGAGTTGGGGTGGACTATGGGCAGGGACCATGCACGGAGTAGGCTGCGGTCGTGGCACGGGAGCTCCTCGACAGCGCGGTCACCATGCTTCGAGAAGGCCGACCATGTCGAAAGAAGTGGAACGTGCTTAGGCATTCGATGGAGATGTGATGGAGAGTTGCCCCTAACGCCACCCCTCCACACTTCAAGAAAGTCACCTGTCATCGTAAGCATGCTAATTGACATATACACACACCCCAAGCGACGCCTCAAATGATAGCAAGTGATGCCGATATGAAATGCTATACTTATTGGAAATGGTTAAGTACATTTTTCAACTTCCAAATTAATTACACGTAAGTTTGATTTTCAACCATGAATTATGAAACCAGCCAATGGAGGTCCTCTAACCATGAAAATTGGAAAGTTTTGTTCCTCTAGCTATTGAAAAAAGTCTACTTAACCCCCTCAACATTGGTGTTGGTTTACTTACCTCTTCATCTATAAAATCGGTTATTCTAACCCTTAAATTATTGAATATCATTTAAATAAAGGGTAAAGTCCACTTTAGGACCTCCAACTATCACAGAAGTATGGATTTCAACCTCCAACTTCAAAACCGGATAACATTGGCCCTCCAACTCTTGAAAAAGTTCACTTTAGGACCCTGGCCGGTTTCCCTGGCGGTTTTTGCATGGCATCATGCTTAGAAAAGGCTGACGACGTCCGATGACGTCAAGACTTTTTTTTAATTTGCAAAATTGATATCTTTTTATTCGAGCTTCAAATATAGCAAATAATATATCAATTTTGATCGCCTCGACGAGCTCTTTGCAATGGTGTACTCCGTTTTGTTGTTTGAGATAATTTTATTTCATGAAAAAAATAAATATTTCTACAAAACAAGTTAGAATAATGAGAACTCGTGGAATTTGTTAGATAAATAATATTTTTATTATTATGTAACACGAAATGTTGTCTTTTTAGGTTCATTTGACCATAGAATATATAAGTTTGACCATTTTGAAATGCAATAATTCAAAACTTGTTTTGTAGAAATATTTTCGCTTCGTGTCCCTTGGGTCCATAAATATTTCGCAATAATTCAAAATATTTCTGCAATAATTCAACAAGGGCCGTGTCCGTCCGATTCGGGCTGCGCACGACACGAGCTTACGCTTCAGTGTTGCCACCTCGCGTCGGGGCGGGCGCGAGGGCGACGAGGCGCACCGCAACGCCGACGCCACGGAGATCCTCGCCCGGACGACCTTTCAGCTGGGCACGCGCTCAACTTACCGATGCCGCACAAGATTCTAGACCACGAGTAAGCCACTCACTATTGCTTCTACCCGCTCCCTCAATTCAATCTAGCTATCCACCGCCACTTCATGCGGTCATACTCATGCCATGCCACCAGAAGCAGATACGCATGTGTCGGCCGAATGGTCGCCCGGGCCTCGTGTGTCTTTGCAATAGTAGCCATAGGAAAGGAAAAAGGACAGTGTACATGAATCGATCATCGATCGGATTTGGGTACAAGATAAATATAATACTACTACTACCACTAGCTACTTAATTTCACCACAAAAACAAAAAAAAAAACTACACTAGGAGCATAAACATATCGTTTGATCGTGTCATATGTTGATGATTAGTTAACCGCAGACTAGGGAAGGTTAATTCAAAAATATCTAAGCGATCGTGGCAGGTCCGATTGACCGTCCAACTCCCTGCTTTTATACTCGACTACGTTGGTGTTGTACATATATAAATATACAAAGTATATAAAATACTTGCATACGTCAGCTTAACTGCATAACTTGTTTTGTAGAAATATTTATTTTTTTATGAAATAAAATTATCTCAAACAACAAAACGGAGTACACCATTGCAAAGAGCTCGTCGAGACGATCAAAATTGATATATTATTTGCTATATTTGGAGCTCCGAATAAAAAGATATCAATTTTGCAAATTAAAAAGGAGGGTCGACGTCATCACGACGTCAAGATCACAGACTGCTACAAATGCCATGCAAAACCGCCTGGGAAACCGGCCAGGGTCCTAAAGTGAACTTTTTCGAGAGTTGGAGGGCCAATGTTATCCGGTTTTGAAGTTGGAGGTTGAAATTCATACTTCTACGATAGTTGGAGGTCCTAAAGTGGACTTTACCCTTAAATAAACCCCTGAGACGGTTTTGAAGGTAGTTTTCGTTAACGTGGCATATTAAAAAGTCTATATAACCCCTAACATATCAAGGGTTGACTGCATAACCCCATCAGCTATAAAACATGATATTATAGCCCTTAAATATCTAATAATATTTAACCGACCCCGATCGTCTTGTAGATCCATTTGGACAGTGTATCCTGCCACACTGGCCTAAGTACTCGTGCTTGCACGCAGGTCGGCCTATTTGTTGCCTCCAACTCCCTACTCTTTCTAGGCTGACCCACTACCCAATGAGCAACATGCGACATCTCTTGTCTCTCATGCTTCACCTCCTGGCACTCGTGGATGACATTAAGCTCAAGAACCACATCTGCACCCTCGTCATCCGACCGTTCCCACATCCTTCATCAGGTCGTCCTTTAGTTTTTTAGGTAGCGAGGAGAAAGTGAGAGAGGGCGTAAAGATGTGGGAGGAGGCCGGCGCTCATCGAGCAGTGGTGCAAGCCTGGAAAGAGTAGGGAGAGGAAATTTTCCTGTTTCCGTTTTTACCGAGTAAACGGTATTCGATCGGTTTATACAGTAAGCGACGCCGTTCGGTATGGGATTTCCCCGTACCATTTTTATCCCTAATGCTAGAGAACATAATACAACGTGGTTGGGGACTCGGCAGCAACTAGTAGAGTACATAATAATACAACGTGGTTGGGGAGCAAACGAGTGAGCAGAGATGTTGTCATGTTCTCTTTTTTGAACGTAAATATTTGCCATGTTCTCTACCACAAAGGCAGCACACATATACTTATGCCATTTCACAGCTTTTCAGTGAACATAGGCAGTGGGAGACGGTAGTTGGGTGAGGTTGGTGGCAGGGGTGTCATGAAAGAGTGGTCGCCGTCTGCCCTGTGATTAGGGGAGGATGGGGTCGTGGGGGCGGCGGCGGGAGGTGGGTAGCACGGCGAGGCGACGGAGCCACCGGCGGGGGGTGGTGGAAGCGCAAGGGGGAGAGCGATAGAGAAGGGATACATGAGGCTACGTGCTCGAGCAGGGGCGGGGCAGGGACCGCTCCAGCAATGAGGAAGACAGGTGACACGTTTCCCAAATGCGTGACCCGTCACGCCATATCATCATCCTATCATGAACGTGCCATCATCAGTCGACAGTTGCAGCTTGGTGCATCCAGATCCACCGTACGAGTACGACTAGAAAATACGAAAGACGACAGCGCGAGTACCTTGTCGATCACGACATCACATGTACAACGCTACGCATCAAGAGGGCCACATCCCCACATTCCTGGGTTGATGACTTTGGCCGTGGGCGAAAGAGTTGGGCAGTCCAACCCCGCGTGTCCCTCGGGGTCAAATAAATCGTTCTGGTAGTGCAGTATATGATTCAAAGATACTATGATGATATTGCCCATCCCATGCTCCGG